GCTGGGATTTGGGTGAAGTGACTTGCCCAAGGTCACCTCACCGGTAAGTGTCAGGGGTCGGATCTGGACCAGAGCCTTCCTGACTCCGTCTCCAGCGCTCACATCCGTGCTCACGTCTAATGTTCTGGGAAATCCTAGGCGTTCAATATGTATTTACCTGTAAATGTTTATTTGTGTTATTCAGTGTAGGCAAGTTGATATTATTTGGCACCAGAGTATTCAGGATTGGGAAAAGGAGTCAAAATGCTTCTTCCCCAGGACAGGAATGATAATCTTAATTAGCAGGTCCCCTTCTACCAGCTTAGGCGACGTCCTAAGCTCACACTGAGAACGGAGGCCGTACTCTGAGGTATCAGACAGGACCAGAACCCAGGCCTCTGGGCTCTTCACTCAGCATTCCTACCACTAGAGAATACTGCCTCCATTTCCCCACCTGCAAAATGAGGGAGTTGGGCTAAATGATCTCCAAGGCTCCTTTCAGCGCTCACATTGTATCGTTCTAGAGTACACGTCCTGTGACAGCCCGTAATTTGAGAAACAGCCCGGCTCCGCACTGAGATGGGCTTTTCGGTGCAATCACTCCTATAGTCTGGGTACTGAAGGGCAGAGGGGCTACTCTCTGTATCATAAGACATTCCCACTTTGATGAGGTCACAGATCTTTGATATGAAGTCTGTCCTTTGATCAATTAACAAGCATTTACTTTGTACCAGACACGTTCTAGGTAATTTAGGGGATAGAAACTAGCAGCTGTGAGGATTAGAACAGGCTTCAGTTGAAAATGACAGTAGAGTCAGCTAGGAATTCTAAGGAGCAGAGATGAGGGGCCAGCACATTTTAGGCACAGGGTTCAGACTCTGCCAAGGCAAAAAGGTGGAGTGTTGTGTGTGAGAAACAACAAAAAGGCCAGTCTGGCTAGACCAGAGAATCCATAAAGGAGAAGGCCATGTAAGGCAGCTGGAAAGGCAGGGTGGGCCCAGGTTGTGTATCTGATTGTAGAGGCCACAGAAAGCCACTGCGCTTATTAGAAAGAAGAATGAAATATGTCAGACGCTAAGAGCAGTATGCCTCCCTTTGGCTGGAATTCCATTCACGAGGATTGATGTTCTCATTTTCTTTGTTTATCATTTGGAATATGTGCCCCAAAAGCATTGTCAGGAAATTATCTTAGACTTAAAAAATAAAAGAAAAAAATCAACTTGACTGGAATGGGGAAGAGAGGGAGACACGTGAACCCAAACTCTGATGGCAATATGAGATTGCCCGATTCCCAACGGCCAACCGCACAATGGCTGAGAGCTCGCTGTGGGTGAGCACAGCAGCGATAACAATGAAATCTGGAGATGAGGAATGCCCCGAAGCCTATCCCTGCTCATCACTGCGGGGCTTGGCCACAGCCAATGTGCTTTTTCCACACAACCTGTGAGAAAGGCTGACTTGCTTGGCTATTCTTCTGGCAACAGAGCTCCTTCTCCTCCTTTTCCACACCCTCATTTCCTCCTCATGACTGCTGCAGCCCTTTAAGGACCCCACAGTGAATGCTACTGTCTCATATTTCCTTTCCATGAAGGAGGCTGTTAGGAAGAGGGAGGCAGCTGCATGTCCTTAGAGAGGGAGTGAAAATGTTGGAATTTCATGCCTCAGGAGAGGGAGGGCTCTGAGAACTAGCATGGAAGCCTCTAAGGAGCTTGCTGGATGAGCTCTGGAACCTTTAGGGGTCTCCCAGGTAGACCCCCTCTGCAACCAGTGTGGGCCCAGTTTGGAATCTCCTTGATACTGGAGTTCCCAGAGTTCCCAAATTCCTCAGAGCCCTGAACAGCACAGTTAAAGGCAAGGGACATCATAGAAAGATGCGTCTATTGATTTTAACATAAAGAGAAAAATACGGTGATGTGGCTTCCCAAAGGCTGATGTGTGTTCAGCAGATTCATTTATCTGCTCTTTAAAATAACTAATATCCATCTTTTAGTTGGGATTATTTCTAGTAGTAGTAGTAACCACCTCCTGCAGCAGGTTGGGACTAGAAAGCAGCATTCTTCCCTTAAGCAGCAGACCCAGAGTGTAAAATAATAGTATTAATAATGGGAATAATAGTAATGGTGAGGACAATTACAATACATTTAGGAGTAACCTCTTACTTTACTGATCAACTTGAAAAGATTCTGTGAAACTCTTTGTGGTTTTATCCATGAGATAAAAACCATCCATTCCACAACCTTGAGCAAATAACTTAACCTCCCTATGCCTCAATTTACCTATCTGTAAAATGAGGGGTTGAAGGGGCAGCTAGGTGGCACCATAGTGCACAGAGCACCAGGCTTGGAGTCAGGAAAACCTGAGCTCAAATTTGGCCTCAGACACTTAGTAGCTGTGTGACCCTAGGAAAGTCACTTAACCCTGTTTACCTCAGTGTCCTCACCTGTAAAATGAGCTGGAGAAAGAAATGGCAAACTGCTCCAGCATCTTTGCCAAGAAAACTCCAAATGGGGTCATGGAGAGTCAGACATGACTGAAACAACTTAACAACAACAACAAAATGAAGGGAGTTCTAGACTTAGGATCCTAATCATGGGAGCCTAAACAAATATACCCTTGCCTTCAGGTCTAATATTCTGATGTTACCTTCTTTATCCAACGACTTGATAATAAACTTCTCCAAGGTCTTTATCTGTTGAAGTAATGATGCATATGTTTGTGTCATGTTTTTAAAGTGCATGAGGCATTTGATAGGCATCTCATTTTAACCTCTAAACAACACTTTTTGCTAGGCACTGCAGGCACTATTCTCATTTTACAGCAGAGGAAGCAGTCTCACAGATGCTAGGTAACTTGCTAGTGGTTATAGCTGTAGTCTGGATTGGGGAAGGATTCTAACCCAGATCTTTCTGATTCTAAGTCTAATTAATGTACATAGGGGTCTGACAGCGTGTGTGTGTGTGTGTGTGTGTGTGTGTGTGTGTGTGTGTGTGTACTATTTTATACATATGACTTGTAACTATAAATGTAAATTCTCACATCCACGAAATCAGTGTAAGCTGATGTTATTAGCATCATTTGGCCCCAGATTAAGGGTGGTCTAGGGAAGGTTACTCACATTTTCCCCCAGTCCTTTTGACAAAATTAAGACTGTAACAAACAGGTCCTCTTCTTGGCTTCTATACACAAGCTGTGTGACTGATTCATCACAGAGAGGTTAAGTGACTTCTCCAGACTGTCCAATGGCAGGATTCGAGTCCACACCTTCCTGATCCCAAGCCCAGGCCCCTAGCCCCTGGGCCACGCTGCCTCTGGTAAAGAGGAGCTAGCCCACAGAAACGTCAGAACCCCAAAGGAGCAGCAGCCTCCAGGCAAACAGGAAAAGATGCACCATGAACATAGCCTTTCATGTTTAGCTTGTCCAGAATGTTGGCATTTGCTTCCTTGAGCCCTTCATCCCCCACATCCTTTTCCTAGATGCTGCATCCCATTTCTTGGGCCACCCCATCCCTGCAGGGCCCAGAAGGTTCTGCTCTCCAGACCCCAGCTTAGCCAAGAGCCCGAAATTCTGTGACATGGGCTCCCTCTGCTGGCCTGCTGACTTCATGACAGCAAGCCCAGAACTAGCCAGGGTTTTTTTGAATGTGTGTGAGCTGGTCACAGGGCCTGAGATAGGACCAGGAGGGACCCGGGAAATCCTCTAGGCCATCTGGCCTCATTTTGCAGAAGAGAACTGAGGCATCCCAGAGAGGTGAAGAGATTCAAAGCCAGGTCCTCAGTCTCCAAGGCCAGGGCTTTTCCCAAGAGACCCAGTTTCTTTAATTTGGGTAAATATTGTTTCAGGTCTCAGGGTTGGGAGCCCCAGCTTCAGACTCAGGAAAACCCACCCTAGCTGTGTGACCCTGGTCACTTTATCTCAAAATCTCAGGTGACTCTCAACCTATAAGATCCCAGAATAGGTGGCTATCTGTGTTGTTAGAGGGAGTTTGCTTAACAGAAGTTCCTTATTTCATTGAAATCACAGGTGCAGCCCAGGACATGGTGTCTCCTGCCTGTAGTATGCTGTAGGACAGGCTGAGGCCAGCAGATCTCTTGAGCTTAGGAGTTTTTGGTTGAAGTGGGCTAAGCCTAATAGGTGTCCACACTAAATCTAGGCTTGATATGGTGAGACTCCAAGATCAGGGGGCCAGTAGACTGCCTAAGGAAAGGCAAGGAGGCCCAGGTCAGAAATGGAGCAGGTCAAAGCTTCTGTGCTAATCAGAATGGGATTGAGCCTAGACCTCGCCCTTCCAGCCTGGGAGAGATCAGGAATCAGGAGGCCCATGCTTAAAACACACACACACACACACACACACACAATCTAATAAAATAAAGTAAAAAGCCAAACTACACGTAAAGGTTACTTTGCCTGAAAAGATAATAATTCTTCTTGAGATTCAATGAATATACAGTTCTATGAACCATCCAAATGACCATTGACCACTATTTCTCAAAAAAAAAAATTAGCAATTAAGAATTAGAAACTGATTATTTGAGTGACTGGACCTCTAAAAAACCTGAAGCTTAATGAGTCCTCCTCCTTAAACTCCCAGCTCTGGCTGCTTGGCTGAGCCATTGGTCAACCTGTCCATCCCTGGGCCCTGTTGTTAGGACCAGGGGTTTGGGAAACCCCACTCACCAGAACAAATATTTTTGGTACATCCAGGCTGAGAGGAAAACAGGAAAGGGATGAGTTCAGAGTCGGGAAGACCTGGGTTCAAATCCTCCCTCTGGCACTCAGTATCCACGTGATGGTGGATACACCACTTAACTTTGCTGAGCCGCAGTTTCCTTATCTATAAAATGAGGATAAAAATAAGTATAGTACCTACTTCACAGGGGCAGTGTAGGTAAAGCACTTTGCAAACCGTAGGGTATTATTTATTAATTTTACTAAATAATATATATTAGTTAATATTAATTAGATATGTTAATTATATATTCATCATTTATTTATATTATATATTGCTATTAATTATCCAGAATTCAGATAGTAAACAAAAAAAGTCCCGCAGTCAAACTACAGGCACTAATCTGAAAAATGGAAGTTCATACACTTTATTCATAAGAAGCAAGAAGGTCCTCAGTCGACCAGAGTCAATTTGCTCCTACTTTACACACAGTAACAACAAATTTGATTTCTTGAATTACGGCAGATTGGGAACAGACAATTAAAAGAGAAGAGAGGAGTTTCTGGGGGGTGGGGGTGGTGAGGGCCCGCCACATTGCCTAATAAGGAAAAGTGAACCCAACCTGGTTAGAAGCAGAGAGGGTCAAAGTGCCCTTGTGGCTACTGCACTTATAGCCCAGGTGAGATGGGGAGATGTAGTCTTTAAAAAAACAAAAGGCAAAGGACGGTGACCAGTGGGTGATGTGCAATTCAGGGTCCAGTGCTTAGTGTAGGATCACAGCCCAGTAGACCATGACAAAAATGGAAATTCATAAGTGTTCATGATAACTCTGCACCAACAAAAAAGGGGAGGGGGTTCAAATAGTATATTTCCCAAGTTAAAGAGTTAATTTACTTTTAAAAGTTGTATTGATGTTTTTTTTTTTGTTTTTCTATTACAATTCTTTCCCAACATGTGTTACCATACCCCCACTGAATCATCCCTTGAAACAGAAAAGAAAGAATTAAACAAAACCTGACATCCTGGTAATCATATCTGTCAGGAGATGCATGACCTACATCTTCATCCCTCCCCTATCTTTTCCCTAAGAGAAGGAGCATGTGTTCCATGATCTATTCTCCTGGGCCGACACGGTCATGACACTGTCAGATAGTGGCTGCCTTCCAGTGTTGGGCTTGTTTATGGTGCTGGGGACATTGTGGATTTTGTTCTTCTGCTTCTTTCTTCACTCTGCATCAGTTCATACAGGTCTTCCTCTGCTTCTCTGAATTCCTTAAATTTGTCGTTTCCTATGGTTTAGTCATATAATTACATTCATATAATAAAGTTAGTTCAACCAGTCCCCAGTCAATGACCAATCCCTTTTTATCCAGTTTTTCTATTTAAAAAATGCTTCTGTGAATATTCTAGGATCTATAGGGCCTCTTTTTCTATCTTGGGGGGTATCTGCTTAGTAGTGAGACACCTGATTCGAAGGGGGTGAACAGCTCAGTGACTTTTTTCACGTAATTTCAACTTTGTTTCCAGAATAAGATCAATTCAGAGTAACATGTACCTTGGTTTACCTATCTTCCCAAAGCTTCTCCAGCACAAACCTGAGTTATTTTAAAGAGATCATTTGTCCAAATCATTTAAAGGAATAAACTCAGCTATCCAGAAAACTTTTCTCTCCAGAACCTCTCCTCTCCCAAAGGTTCTTCTGAATAGTTGGTGTCTTGCTATAATAAGGTAACAGAGCTGTAGTTTAAGTGAACACACTAACAACAATATGAGTTACTGGTCCTCCAAAGTAAATTCTCCTGTTTCTTCTTTCTTGTTCTTATTCTAATTAAGAGACAAATACCCTTGCCTCTAATTGGGTCTTTTTACTGGTGAAACTTTGACTGCATAGATAGAGGGTTAGTAGCTAAAAGTGCAGCTCATGGGAGCCAAAAGCTTTCTTCTCGTTAATCCTTCAAGAGAATGTGAAGTTGAGTATTCTTGGCAATGAGTGTTTCTGAATACCTGGGGGCCCTGGAAATGATGATGATGGTGGTGGTGGTGATGATGGTGATGATGGTGATGATGGTGATGGTGATGATGGTG